AGTCTCCTTCTTTGGAGGTCTTTAAACAGAGCCTGGATGGCCATTTGTCAAGGGTGCTTTGTTTGTGTTTTCCTGCATGGCAGGGGTTTGGACTGGATGGCCATTGGGGTCTCTTCCAACTCTAGGATTCTCAGTCTGAGTTTTAGTTCTTTTCAGTGCCGTTACTAAGTGCCCCAAATGACCTCCTCCTATCCCATACCATACAGAATCTTTAATCATATATTTTTGTACTAATGTTACTCATTAATCGTAATTCTTGCATATCACTGAAGATCATGGTAATAGTTGTGACATAAACAACTAGCAAAATCAAAGCTATACCTTTAAATTACAGTGTCTCTCACACAGCATCAGTGCAATTACATATGCATAGTTTCATGCGGTTGAAGTGAAAATTTGGTAAAGGGTGATGTCTTTAGATAAAACTTTAAAAGAATTAAAATTTAATTTCAAAAACCCAACAACCTGGGACCGTTGCTTCACCCCACTCTCCCCATCTCTTCTGCATTTTAATGGGCAGGACTAAGAAACATGAATTCAAACTTATATGAATGTTTTCAGCTTTTATTTGATAGTGCCCTGCATTTATCTTGAATGCCCTACATTTTGCACTGCCTTTTTCTCCTTTGTGGTTATAACATCTGGTCACTCTGGAGCCTCACAAATCTACAAGTCCCAGAATTCTGTAGGATGGAGCCATAGCAGTTAAAGTGGTGTCAAACTGCATGATTTCTACAGGTTGTAATAAGTATAAATTCGGACTTCCCCATCTGAAGTGTGCAAAAGTAAACAAAAGTTTGTATGGTTGAGTCTCTTTTATCGGAAATGCTTGGGAAGAGGTCTGTTTTGGATTTCAGAATGCCTACATATGCATATACGTACATAATGAGTCAATGTAGGGTAGTGGTTAGAGTACTAGACTACCACTCTGGAGACCAGAGTTCAAATCCCAGCACAGCCATGGAAGCCCATTGAGTGACCTTGGGTAAGTCACACTCTCTCAACCTCAGAAGATGGCAGTGGCAAGCCCCTCTGAAGAAACTTGCCAAGGAAAGCAACAACAACAACATAATGAGATATCTTGAAGATGGGATCCACATCTAAACACAAAATTCATTTATGTTAAATATACACATAGCTTGAAGTACATTTATATAATAGTTTTTAATAATTTGGGGTATGAAACAAAGTTTATGTAGTTTGAACCATCAGAAAGCAAAGGTGTCACTATCTCAGCTACTCAGGAAAAAATCGTTTGGTTTTAAGAATACATTGGGTTTTGGAATTCCACATAAGGGAGACTCAACCTGTACTACTGTAAATAAAACTTGTTAGCGGCAACAGATCAACATTACTTATTCCCCCTATGCACAAGATAACCACTGCTTCTTTATTTTGTTTTAGGGGTGGAGAGCTGTTACTCCTCAGATGTTTTGGAGTTTAGTTTTCATAAGCCCAAATTGTTATGGACGTAAAGAATTAAGGCACTCAGAGTCCAAAACATTTGAAGGGCAAAACAGTCCCCATTTCTGTCTTGCTTGTAATAATCATCAGATGAGGGGCTCATTAATATTACATAGTTATAGCACTGTTATTCCACTTTAACTGTCATGATTCTATCCTATGTAATTCTGGGGTTTCTAGTTTGCTGAGGCTCAGATTTCTAAATGCCTCCTCTTCAACTAAAAATCCAGATGGAATCATGGCAGTTAAAGTGAATAATAAATTTTATTATTATTTATTATTATTATAGTGCTATAATCCTGTAGTGTGAATGGTATTACTTTTTATATTTTAAAAAATATTTTATTGAATTATTTAAACATATATACAAACAGTGTTACATATGCACCCCCACAGCATATTAGAGGTTAGAATCAATACATTATTTACAATTAGAAACTTACATTCAATATGTAGATATGGATTTAATTACATTATTGACTTCATTGTACTCCATATTGCCTTTGACCTTCTCAAGCAGAATTTCCCAACCCAAGTTCCAAGCTTCTTCCCTCCTTTCTCCAGTATATTTTAATCTTCTATCTCTAATAATATTGAGCAGCAAGCTATCTGCCAAATATTTATCTACCTTGTTCAAGTTCCAGTTTTTACTTTCTTTCCATCCTGATATTGTCACAGCTTGTGCTGTCTTTAATATATACTGCGTTTTCTTCATTCTTATTCAGTCCCTTATTCTTCAAATTTAATGTTATGCAGTTCTCTTTGCTCAAATGAACATCCTTGCCTATTATTTTATTAATCTCTCTTATCACTTCACCCCACAATTTCTGAACAAAAGGACAGTCCCACCATATATGCATGTAGAAACCCTTGGACCCACCGCAGTGCCAACACTTTGCTGATAATTTTTTTATTGAAAAGTGCTAATTGAGAAGGACTCTTGTACCAATGCCGTATTATTTTTCATATTGCCTTGTCATGAGAGTGCAGAAAACACTTATTGCACATATCTATACAAATGATTTGAGGTTTGTTTGTTTTTTTATATCAGATGATATATGCAGCTAAATATCATGGCAGACTTTCAGCTAGATTGCCTTTTACTTTTCTCATATTAGCAAGAATATTTGTTTAAGATGACTGCAAGGAAAGGATGTGTTGGAACCAGTCTGATCATAGTTAACATAAACTCATTGAAGTAACTGGGACTGAAATAGTAATGACTAAAATGGCCCACTGACTTCAGTGGGTGTTCTGTAAGTATGATTAATTCCTTATGAATCAGCATGAACAATTCAGTATAATATGTACAATTTAGCCCACTGGTTCTGGACCCTCTTTTCATTTTTAATATTGCTGGGTCATAATGGTACTGTTGAGAGTAGCAGCCCCAGCTAGCAGAATTCTCCTATTAGCAACACTAAAGGATTAGACATACAATACTGAATTATTGGAACTTGAGTAGAGGTTGAATATCCCGTATCTGAAATGCTTGGGACCAGAAGTGTTTTGGAGTTCAGATTTTTTTTTATTTATTTTTTAATACAAGTAGCATAGTACACATTATGTTTGCAAGGCTGGAGAGAGACATAACAATCTGTGAAATGGCAAAAACCGAAGCATTTAATGCTTGGTACAAATCCATGCCTCCCACCTTTTCACACATCCTTGTGTCTCTCTCCAGCCTTACTAGAAAAAAAATATAGTAGTGATTTCCAGGGAGCCTACCAGCTTGCAACTGGCAAAGGAACAGGAGTACAATCACTGGCATCAATACGCCATGTTGACATTCAAAATGTTTTGGATTTTGGAATATTTTGAATTGAGGATTTTCAGATAATGGCTATTTGGCCTTTATTTGATTTGCAAAGTTACCATAATGCATTGAGTCTGCTTGGAATTGAGAACTGAATTTAACCCAGCCATTCACATATAAATACATCATTAAAGGTTTTGCAGATTTATCAGAGTATAAGCAGCCATATCTTGCATAGGAAAACACTGTAAAATTCATGCCCATAAGTTAGCAGGCAACTTGAAGGTACATGCCTTGCTTTTTAATCACCCATGAATTTTTTTCATGCATTTGACCATGGTTGCCTTCAGGGAGATGTAATACTAACTAAGAAATGAGTCCAAAAAAACATGAAATTCAAATCATTCCACTGAATCTGGTCGAAGTTGTAGCTTTTTGTATGTTGCATCTGGAAGAAGGAATTATTGTGTTGTGTTAGACAGAGAAGATTTCCAGTAGCAACTGAAATGATAGAACACTGGCCAAAATGGGAAGTCGTAGGCTTTCATGGCTGGCATCCATAGTTTTTTGTGGGGTTTTCGGGGTGTGTGTCCATGTTCTAGAAGAGTTTCTTTCTGACGTTTCACCAGCATCTGTGGCTGGCATCTTCAGAGAAAATGCTGGCGAAACGTCAGAAAAAAAACTCTTCTAGAACATGGCCACACATCCCCAAAAAAACCACAAAAAATTGGCCAGAATGTCAAAAAATAAAGCACTGCATGAGAACATCCAGGGGTAGCTGAGTTGGCCATTTAGCAAATTCAAACACTGGTGGATTTTTGTCTGCACGAGGTTAGTCTGTTGGGCTAATGGTAAATCTGTATCTGGGCTTTATCCACACTACTGGTTGGAATTTAAATGTAAAAAAGTTAAAACTTCCATCTCATAAAGCTTGAGCCCTCGATTCCACTTGCCAACAAAGCCATCTGATTGCTTTAATCTTTATTTTGGAGTCTAGGAGTACATGGGGAGGCTTTCCTTTACAGTTTACTAAGTGTTAAAGGGTGCAGTACAACTACAAAGCAAAGCAAAGCAGCTTCATTTATATACTACTTCATATTAGGGGGATCCTTGCTTCTCTATGTAGCCAAAAATTGAAAAGCAAGGTTGGAACTTGTGGTTGGTGCTCTAGGTGCAAGTACTACCCAAGGTAAAAGCGAGTACCAGCCTTCTCTTTCTTAATTCTGTGCTTCTCATTACACAGCTGTTACAAGTTATGGATACACCTTAAGCATCTCAGCACAAGGTTGCTTGCCTCTCCAGCTTCCATTCCTACTCTTGTGCCAGTCCCTAAGAACATGTTAAGCCCAGTCCAGCTGTGGAGACCTTACCAGCTTTTCTTTCCAGTTTCAAGAGACCTATGCAGGTTTTCCTAGAAACAGGTCTGATTGAGTACTGGGACTTACTGCAAGGTAAAGTTGTACACAATTTTAGCCCAAGGCTTCAGTTTTATGTATCAGCTCGGCAATGATTCCCAAAGTGGGTGGTATGCCCTTCTGGGGGGTGGTGAGGAAAAGGGGGCAGCAAGGGCAGCTTCAGTCAAAGCATTAGTGCATAAGAAAAATGAGAGAAACAAACAGCTTTTAGGACCATGATGGGGATGAGGAGTTAGAGCACATGGCAGAGAGGGCAAGCACTGGCAAAAAGGAGCTTTAAGATTTGGGACCCTGATTAAGCCTCATGAGTTTTGCTGGGATTTGGTTGGCAGTTCAGAGCTGCACTGCTGCTCCTGCTTTCATTGGACAGACAGAAAAGAGGTAGCAGAAGAAACAATGTTGGGAGGGATGATTGAAGCTCTGTGAGAAAGGCACATTTCTGAGGAAGGAGAGAGAGGAGCATCAAGGGTCGATTCTTCAAAAGATTCTTTTGCCTCTCTTGCCTCTGAGATTGAAAGAGATCCCTTGCCAGAGAGAAAAGTGGAAAACTAGGTGTGTTTGTCTCAACCCTGGCAAAGAAGGATTGAGAATTCTTCCTTACCATTCTTCCTTGCACCATTCATTTTGGAAATAGCAACCAAGCAGCTGGCTGAGCAGCACCTGAGAAGCCTCTTGCCTGCACCTCCCTTTGCTGCAAGGCCAGCATAGGCAAGAGGTTTCTCAGTCATTGCTCAGCCAGCTGCTCGGTTGCTGCTCCCAGGGTGACTGGTCGCAAAGGGAGTAGCACACGAGCAGTGACCAAGAAGCTTCACATCTGCACCAGCTTTTTCTGTGAGGCCAGCACAGGTAAGAGGCGTCTAGGTCACCGCTCAGCCTTCTGCTTGGTTGCTGCTCCAGACATGACCAACTGCCTGGTCACTGCTCCCTTTGTTCCCAGTCACCCTGGGAGCAGCAATCAGGTAACTGGCCAGGTGGCCAGCCTTCCTTTTGCTGTAAGGCCAGTGCAGGTGAGAGGGAGGAGCAGGCCTAGGCTGCTACTGATGGTGCTGTATTCATACATGGGAGGTTGAGGAGGAGGAGGAGGCGAGCTGGATGCGATAGGTAGACACCACTGGCCAACTGGCTGCTGCACAAACAGTAGACCTAATTTCAAGAAATAGGTGTTGAAGGGTGCTTGCCTAAGAGAAAGGCTGGTAGCTTGAAAAAGTGTGGGAATCACACTACCTAAGGGTAACCTCCCAGTAAGTAGAACTTTCCTGAGTAAACATGCCGAAATTACACTGAAGGGCTATGTCCTGATGACTACAAATTTATCAAGCCCCGACA